GAAACCTTAGAGAGAGCCACATGTGAGGGATCCCTCTCCCAGGACGGACAGAAGTGCAATAGATGCCACGTGTAATGGAGAACATCAGAAAAATACTATAGATATAGATGTATAGTATGTTGATTCCTGCTCAGAATGCGTTTCCCTGTTTGTTATGAGGAAACACTATTTACAATAGCAGCAGTTTTTTCTGGAGCTCTGACCTCTGGTGTCCGTGTTACTTCCGTGTTCTGCTCACCTGCTCCACCGGTGTGAAGGTGCGACTCTCCGCTGCTGCTGCACCTGCTGCCTTATTACCGCGTCATGTCGGAGGAGCTCGTACCGTGTGAACTAACAAACTCCCGCTCACCGAGGGAACCACCGGGGGATTCTCCGTGGATCGAGAGCAGGACCATGGACTGCGAACAGCCCATTTTCTCCGTGTTGAGCGGCGGCGGTGCCAAGGACAGGACGACAGCGGCGGCGGCGGCGACAGTGGTGGTGGGGGACACCGCGGTGGAGAGCTCCGGCGGCGGTGGGGGTGGAGGAGCAGCCTCTCCCTCCGATACCGAGTCCGGGATCTTCTCCGGTGAGAGTGAGGTCTGTGTGGAGCACGAGTCCGAGCTCGACTGGTTCTGCGGCACCGAACAGAAACTCATCTGCTCCCACTGCGCCATAGTGGGCTCCTGCCGCGGACACACCGTGACCCCTCTAGCCACCAGGGTCACAGCGATCAGGGTGAGTGTGTGGACCAACTCTCAAACTGCGGTTCTACTTCTGTCATGTCGTTTTGACTTTGCCTGATTTAGAGTTTGACAGTTCAGGTAAATATATTTCCTTTACTGAGGGCAGAGGCTGATCTAGGAATTTTCTAAATTGGGGGCCATTAAGGGGGCCACAATTTACACATGATCATTTGTGCAACATCTATGCATGAGAAAGTTCGTACAGTTTTGTTATAGCCTATTACACCTGTTTTATAACATTTTATTTAATTATAACAAACAATCTGCGTTACATTCTACATATGTGTGTCAGATAAGCTACACAGAAAATACACTGATTGTTCTAAAAAGCTAATCAATCTTTTTAAATAGATGCTCAGTTGCTATTCTCAAAATCTTATTTGAAAAAAGTTTATGAAATAAAACTTTTAAAGTAAACTTTCCCCCCTTGTAGTTACACTCCCTGCCAGTAGGTGGTGCTGCAGCCCCTCCAGCTTTAAGCAAAGCCACACATTATCGACTAAATAAAAATTCAAACTCCTTAATAAATTGTCATGTTTATTGTTAGTATTGTTCATAAGTGTGTCTTTAAGACTACTGACAGGTAGGAGGGGGGCACTTCAGGGGCCAATCAGATTACGGCTGCCCATTTCAGCCCCTGTATTAATGATTTCAGTTGATAATAAGCCAAGAGTGCTCACTAAAAACATGTGGGAATTCAATTTTCAACAGTGTTATATGTATTTAGTTCATCGTTCCTTGTTGGGTGTGTCACGGTTGTCACATGGCTCTGCTCTCTGATTCCACTGCATGGTATTTGAAAAGACAGGATATTCTTGTTGAGTCTCCAACTGATCATATTAAGGTGTTGTGGTGGGGCTGGTGGTGTGTATGCGTGTGTGTGTGTGTGTGTGTGTGTTTGTAGAACGAACTGGTGGATGTGTGTGAGAAAATGCAGCTGCAGGCACTGAGGATCGAAAGGTTCATCGACCAGACGCTGATAGTCAAAGAGCAAAAGCTCCAGGTGAGAAATGCCTTGATACTCCACTCTCATTCAACCACACACAATAATACAATAATAATCACATAGAAACGTTGCTAACAACTCTTAATGACACATGTTGCTCAGTGGTGCCCACACTGTGTCTCAAGTATTGACATTGGGTGGGTCACCTTTCTGAGTTGGTGTATACGGATTATCTCTCCTCTAACAAGACTTGTTGCATTAGGGCTGCAACAAAGTACTTTTTTCCCTAAGAATTAACCTGAGGAGTGTTTCATATGATCAGTCAATGTATTGTTTAGTGTTTAAAATAGTGAAACATACCACTGTAAATTGATTAGTAAGATAATAATAGAATTAGTTCACTCTTCATGTATGCCTTGAAATAACTATTGAGTTTGCTGATATTGTCAATTTATCACCATAATGCAACAAAGCAAAGATTGCCTCCCTTTCACTGCACCTATACTTATTAATCTCTGTCAACAGAATGGGTCTGCGGAGGTCAGATGTGCAGGGTGTGCATGTATAGTGTAACAGAGCAAACCAGACCTCAAGCAAAAGAGAAAAACGAATCATACTTCCCTCCAAGTTTCATGAAAATCCATTTACGACTTGTTTGCAAAATTCTGCTCACAAACAAACAAGTAGACAGAGAAGAATCTCCTTAGTGGAGGTACTGTGATAATCACTAACACACAGACATGTGCACTGTGTCAAGAGTAGACGTTACTCTGTATTGAAGGTTTGCAGAGGGAATAGTTTAAGACGCCATTTCTTCCTTCCCCTAACTCTCATCTTTAGCATTTCTCCTTCTCTCCCGTCTCTTTCTGAAGGCATCTGCGAGCAGGGCGAGGGAGCAGGTGCTGGCTCAGGTCAGCGCAGCACGGGAGGCCCTGGAGGAAGAGGAGCAGCGTCTGCTGGAGGAGGTACAGAGGGAGGAAGAGCGGGTGGAACAGTGTCTCCTCACCCAGAGGGCCCACTGGAGCCAGGCCGTGGTGAATCTGTCACAAACACGTTCACGTCTGGTTCACACGCTCACGCACACTCCTGACGCACAGCTAGTGGTAAGAGAGCTGGGTTGTTGTAGCAGGAAGGGGGAAGTTATAATAACAGAATCCTAATAATGGCCATAAATGACTGAATTATGTTCATGTCCAGGAGAGTAATCTGTTGTTTCCTGTTTCGTCTTTCAGATTAGCGTCCAGGACATAGTTGAAAGGTAATATTTTATTACACGACAGGCTTGTAAATATTTTCTTTATTTGCTCAGGACGTACCAGAGAGGTAATATATCTCCTCTCCGTGTTTGTGTGTTTGTGTCAGGGTGGAGGAGGCAGAAGGGGTCGGGGAGCCCTGCGATACAGAGCAACTCAACCTGAACCCAGGCTGCAGTGACAGCAAGCTGCTGAGGGGTCTGTGGGCCACGGCGGTGATGCTCGGTCCAAATGGTCAGTAGATTTTTATATTCAGCTGTGAATCATCCTGTTGCTTCATGCAAACATGACAGATCCAGTAGTTAAATGGTGTCTTTTGTTATTTTGTAATGCAGCAGTTTGTGACATACTCTCATATATATATGTTCCTAATCTTCTTCCCACAGCCTATGGATCATCATATTCAAAGTTTGACCAGCGCACTGTGAGCCCGCTCCTGTCCCTGTCCGAGGACTCCTGCACTTTGACCTTCCTCCACAAGAAAGCTCGCCAATCCCCTCTGTACGACCCAGCACGATTCGACTGTTGGCCCAACGCACTGGGTTCACTGTCCGTGTCCTCAGGCACCCACAGCTGGATGGTGGACGTTGGCCAGAGTGGCGCCTTTAAGATCGGGGTCTGCTACGCCTCTCTGGAACGCAAAGGCTCCGGGAATGACGCGCGGCTCGGTTACAACACTCAGTCCTGGGTGTTGTCTCACTATGACAGGGACTACTCCTTCTGCCACGCGGGGGAAAAGGTGCCCCTGCAGGTGGTGAGGACCCCCAAGAGGATCGGCGTGCTGCTGGACTGGCCAAGTCAGACGCTGTTGTTTTACGAGCCAGACTCCTGCACCTTGCTGTACTGCATCACACGAAACTTCACCGCCCCGCTGCTACTGGCGTGTGCCGTGACAGACCGCAGTATCTCCATAGTACACTGACTATCGCCTTAGTACACAGATTGTGCCATATGACAAACAAATACTAAATAACTTTAAAGATGTGAAGAATAGCAAGGAAGAGACTTTGTTTTATCTCCAGACTTTGCATCAGTTCTATTTATTCTTTTGTCTTTGTTAGAGATGCTTTTTTACTGGTTGTGATAATTTGTCTGTTGATCATATTATGCAGTAGTTGTGCTATTGTGCCTGACAGTGATTGTTTTTTTACAATGTTTTTAATATGATTCTTTATATAATCACTTTGAACTGTGTAATGATGTAAAAGAGTTATTGATTACACTGGTTGATCCAGGACTACAAATGTAAATGTTATGTTATATTCTCAGTAATCTGACAATATAACACATCAAGTTGACTGTTCGATTTTCTGACTCTTATGTTAAACAAAGTTAGTATTTTGTAATTTTTTTCATTACTATAATATTTTCTTTGAGATCAAAAGCATTGTGTTTGTTCTGTTGTGAAACAGCTGGGTTTAGTTTTACTTGCAGTAACATGGCACTCAATAGGAAGACATGTGAACAGAATGATTGTAAATGATAAATACTTGTCGTTCTCATTGAGTTTTGTGTCAATCTGAAATTAAAGGTTTGAGGTTGGTTGTACCTGTTTACAAAAACCTGTAACTGTGATTTCCTCGTCTCAAAGTTATATTATATTCTTCTTCTTTAACATTAATAAAAAGGGGCAGTGGGGGGGCATGAAGATTAGAGAAACAGACTTGTGAATAAATGGTTCACACAAAAACAAAAAGGACTGAAAAAAAAGGATAAACGCACAAGTGGCCAATCTGGAAGTGCAAAATAACTCAGAAAGAAATTGTGCCTTTTTTTAAGATTACAACATATTTTTGGTATTATCTACAATATGCCATAAAATCAGAGATGTTTCTTGGAAACAACAAGTGGATCTCAACACTTTCTGACACTTTAGTAGCTGAAACAGAAAACCACTAGAGGGCGGTGATGTCAAAGCTAACCTTCAGGACCAACATGATAAATATGAAGCAGCAGTGAGGACACATCATGTGAAATCAGTAAATCAAGTCTGAGGTGGAAACGTTCCTCCAGGACCATGGACAGTTACAGGTTCTGATAATAACACAGGGACACCCGTTCAATGAGTGTGTGGATCAAAGTAATGAACTGATATCAACTGACATTTAAAAGCAACATTAAAGCACTGAGGCACAATCAACAATTATGATGAATGATTAGTTATTTTACATTCATGTGTATTATTCGTAGCGATTAACCAGTAAGTACAGTGCAGCCCTGCAGAATATACTCTATTCAATACTTCAGGAGCGACATGTGATCAGGATGAAACACCTCAGGTGCAGCAGTGATGAAACAGCCCAATCATGCCGGCCATGTTTCTCTGAGCAATCAAAAGCACCTTCTACAGAAATGTGATAAAGCAATAAAACACAAAGTAAAAGATGCTATAAGGTTTTTACTCTTTTATGTGGTGTTAATATTTTACATGTTACTACAATAAAAGTACAACAAAGAACAACTCAAATATTTTCTGAGGTGTGAAATTAACAGTCGTAAATACTTCAAATTCTTTTTCAGTGCTGCTCTTGAGTATATAAATTAAAGGTCGTTTTGATGGACCCTGAGTTTCGTAATGAGTCTATTTTGTACACATAACTACTGTAAAAAAGTAATGCCTGTTTGATTTGTCAACATAGTGAGTCTAACCATAACGGAAGCAGCTGCTCCCTTCCCATCCAGGGGTATTTACACAATTGCAGGTGCACATTGTTCGGTTTCTCAATAACACGATAACTATTAAAGAAGAAAAAGGTCACAAACATGTCACATCTGGCTAATTGTTGGGATAAATTAAAGAACTGTTGTAATAACATTATATTTCAAAGCTGAAGACAGTATATGGGTGTATGTAAGTGCATAATTACAGATCATTCAGTTCTACATTTATTTTTATGCTAAAAACAGAAAAACATTATGAAAATATATATGCTAACAACAGATGGTGACTGAGTGCGGCCTGTTGAACCAGACCTGCTGTCACGCTTCATCAGTTTGAATGGTTTCATTCATATATATATAGACTTGATGCCAAGGCAGATATATTTGTAATGTAAAAAGGAACAAGCCAGTGTTTGCCAAGTGTGAAATTTCCCCATTTCCTCAGTAGTTTATATTTAACATCCAGTGTCACAGTCACACTCCAAATATTTATGGTTTGTCTGTTTAAAAGTCTTTTGGCAGGTGATTCATCCACTTTTTTTCTCAGGTGCTTCTCTGTTTGGATGCACTTGGTATAACTGGGGGTGGGTCAATGTTGAGCTCTTGCCGGAGGTCCTCGAGGTTCTGCTCCCACCGTCTCTCGTAAAAGACGCTGAGGACGCATCGGGCCCTCTGACCATTCTGAAGAGCCCAGGGCCCCAGAGACGTGAACAGCATCTGCAAACGTCTGAGAGAAGGAAACACAAGAAGGGAAAATTTGAACATGATACAGTGAACAGGAAACAGGTTACTTCCCTGAAAACAAGGGATGTTCTTTAATTAGTCAAATAAGGAAGGACTAACAATTTACGGGTAGAGAAATGATCTACAGCCCTTTGTTCTTTGTTATAGCAGCCATGATATACAGCTCAGAGTCAAGAACTCAGTACTGTTAGGGAAGTTCTCTGGAGGCTGGTGAAAGGAGAACTCAGGCAGCAACTCATGTCTTATTCAGAAGATTTTAATGTAAACTTGCATCAAGGACGCCAGAATGTGGAACAATATACAAATGCTAACTGAATGCTAGTCTGAATATGTCTCCCACAACATCCCCATATATCTTCCTCTACTTGCGTCACCCATTCTAACAGCACATTATCCATTAAAGGCTTGAGTTGCTGTCACTCCCTATGTTACATGTAGGTGTTCGCATCCTATTGGATAGTTAAGCCTAAAGTATGAAATCCTAAATCACATTTTGTCCTTGTGTCTTGCCACTGGTGTAATACGCAAAAGAGTTGAAGCCTCTCTGTCTGGGCGAGTGTAGACACTACAATGTACTGTTGGCTGGCCGTTTATCTATAACCTGACCTTTGGCTCTGCAAAGAGAGAAGGGAGTATCTGTGGAATTAGAGAGGCAATAAACTTGCAATGGTGTACAGATATAGTGTAATAAACACTATATACATAATATACAGTGGCATATACAGTAATGTGTGAGGATGGTAAGAAATACCTTTACAAGGTCTGTGATCATAAAACTGTCATGCATTTTCACTCTCACAAACGCACTCTGAAGTGCTTGGTGGACAGTGTGAGAGCCTCAGTGCAGAGGAGCCGAAGCCACTGCAGCTTTATAGTTTATCTTCTATTATGAATTTTTAATTCTGAATATGTTTTTATGTTTAGGGTTTTTCTTGAACAAACAATGAATCACTTCCTCCTGAAAACAAGAAACAGATTTTCACTTTGAGGAGAGTGGCTACAATGAGTCTATCAGAGCTCCTTTCATGTGCATCATGACGCCTGCAGAAAAACTACCAGCCCGCTTCAACAGAAGTACTGAACAAAACGGATGAGTAAGTTTGGAAACTGCGGCACACACACCTGGCCAGTGCGTAGGAAGACCTGAGATGGAACTTTTCAATGCATGACTATTGTCACTTTTTCAGAAAGAAATGCTATGAATGGCTCAGTCTGCTCAAAGTGTTCACATACTGTTTTCGAGAGATTTTAGGGAGTTACTTACCTCTGATCATATTGATTCAGATCTTACTAAACATATTTGTGGTCCAAATCAACACTAAAATCTACTCTGAGGTAAAAGCACAGGTATTTGTACCTTGTGCTTAGCCGAGTTGGCCCCAGCACAGCTCCGAGGGCGCACATGGGAAGCCCTGTCTGAGCGGCTTCGAACCATTTTACTGCCACTTCACCTGAAAATCAAAGGAGAAAGAGACAGATGTGAAAATTATATATCCATTTTGACAGTTCATTTATCTTTTTTCAGCTAAATACAAAGTTCAGATCAAATGTCCGTCATGCACACAGTAATAAATGTCAAAAGAGCTTCCCTAGGCTTAGTAGTTACAATAAATACAATCTGTATCAATACAATCTGTATCAATAAAACACAATCTGAAAATAGGTTTTGAAATGATTTGTGAGCATCCTTCTCTGATGATGTGAGGTCTGACTCACCCAGCATGTTTGTAGGCATGCCCAGTAAGGTGTGCAACAAATCATGGACCTCTCTGTATCTCTGCATGACGTAAGCAAGCTCCTCGTTGTCCACAAACTTCACGTCTGCCCTCGAGTCAGGGGTCACATGCTGAGAGAACAGAAAAGCGAATATTGCTGTGACAATGAAAGAGAAATGTGAAAAAAGGGATGCAGTGATTTTTAAAATGATGAAATCAGTGTTATCAAAATGGGAGACAAGGGTTGAATGCTCTTTGTATGGAGTTTTACAACACATGAGCAGACACTCACATTGTCCTCCAGGAAACGGAGGTATTCTCTCCCAAAGGAGCCGTTGGGCAGCGAGGCCATTGTGGTCAGATCAAGTGTGGAAAGTCGGATCCTGGGCCGTTCTCTGCAACAACCAGCAAGAGAATGCTGAAATTCAATTACAGTCGAAAAAATAAGTTTGCAGACAAGTGTGCAGCGTCTCACGTTAGGATTGTGTAGCCTTCAGGGTCATTTCTCATCCTGTCCCTGAGTTTTAACAACGCTAGGTTTCCCGTCGTCTCTCCGAGCACCGCAACCATGTCTGTAAAGAGCGCAGAGAGTTCCATAGAATTGGACAATAAAAAGATTTTCCGGGAACAATCTGTTGCTGCCAAACTTTCTATATAATGATCGATTTCCTTAAAATAACATGAGTTGTCTTAAGGATTCTCCAACATGTGAAGTTTATGTTTAAGCTGTGCTTATAATAATTCCTACATTTAAAAAAAATCTGTGAAAACAGCTGGTAGGTGTTGTACACATTGTTAAGATTTTTCAAGTCTGGTAATGTTCGAGTTATCTCAGTTGAAATATGGTAATAAAAATGTTAGCAAGAGATCAAGAATCCTGCATTATAAACTGAGTGTGGGATTGGAATGACTGTGGGGTTTACCAAGCAGACGAGATCTACTGAAAAAGGAATCAAAATGACCAGGATCCAGCTTTTTAAGAGGTCAACCGATACTATGCACCACGAGCCAGGAGTTGCCAGAAAGAAACCAAACTAGGATTTTGAAATATGTGACAGAATGAGAGAGTGAGCAAAATTACTCATACTGCAATTGAGAAAGGAACTGAGTACAGTCCCTGGTATCACTTCACTGATAAGTGAAAAGGATAATGAAACATTAGCTTGGATTAGTCACTAAGGGAAATAACTGGTCTCTTATCTTTCAGTTTGAATTTATTCCTAGAGAAATAGAAAATGACATGACCTTTAAAGCCAATCATTCAACAAACCAATCTGTGTTTGGTCCTTAGTGACAAACATTTCTTATCTTGGGACGGCTATTTATACAGACAGAGACAGGAAATTGGAGGGCGGATGGGGTTGTGATCCCAGGAACCAAATTCCTTAGCCAGAGCTGAACTCCCCCATGCTTCCCATACATTATCTATAAAACAGATGAGCCTGAACAATGACAGAGAATGTAGCCTGACCGCCATGCTGATGATGTAAGTGCATTACCATGTCTGTAGGGGTCCTGTAGTGCCGCCACACCTGACCCAACAGCCAGCAGGGCTTTCTGGATGTGGGTGGTGGGAATGTGTCCGGGATACAGCCCATCATAGCAGCCATCTGTAAACTCACTGCTGCTGCTGCACAGCTGCTGGCTGCACACTGCAGAGACACAGGTGGAGCAGCATATGAAACATTTTAGAAATATGTGTACATGAACAAAATGTATACATATGTATATGTACAGTAGTACATACTAAGTATACTACTACTATTTATTATAATACTGCGAAATTAATCACACATTGTATACCAAACCAGCCAATATACATGCACTTGCAGTCTAAATATTCATATACATGTATATTTATTTAAATATGTAAAATACACACATAATGCTGAAAAGTAGTGTACGTTATCATCTTGTCAACTTTACCAGAGAACATTTCTTCACAAATATTTGAGTCTGTAGTGTGAGGTCTACATTATATACATATTCTTCCTATTTTCATTTCATGTAGTTTTCTAATAGTTATTCTTATTTAATTTTATACTTCGTGGTCTCTTTCTACCTCATTTTGACAATCTGCTTCTGTAACATGTGAATTTCTCCAAAAGGTTTATCATCTTGTTCTTGAACTAGACAAAGACAATATAATAATAAACTCACTTATGTGTGTGTTTTGACTCATATAAAAAAAAACATTTCAACACCACATTGAATGATGTAAATCAAAGTCAAATAAAGCAGATATTCCCTCATACACGCAGTGAACAGCTGACTGTGACCTTATGTTAGACAGAAAGAAGCTAAAATCATACACCACATTGGGTTTAACACCTGAATATTGGATTAAATGGTAAGCAGTGTGCATCTGATGTAATAGTTAGTAACTTCCTTTATTGTTTACGACACTGGAGCAGAAGCTGCCTGTCCCTCGATTCACAGCAGTCACCCCAGCGCTCTCTGACATCTCCGAGTGTGCTAGGCTAACACCTTAGCATCGACATTCATGCACAATAAAGCACCTAACACGTCAGGTTTATAAAAGCTACGTGACTAGTTCCGTGTCTGATTATAAAACAACGCAGACCACACGTTCAGAAGCTCGTACCTTTCGCGATCAAACCGTGATGTCGCTGAGTCAACCGGTGGAGACGTTTACTAACACCCCGCCACATTGTGAACGCCACTGTGTGTGCTTATGGGAGAACGGTGCGCTCGTTTTCTTCACCGGGAGCAGCAATGGCGCACGAGCCGCGGTGGGCAGTGGCATGTGTTTTCTCAGCGCAGCGTTGGAGAAGAGAATGACTACGTCCTCCTCGGCTGTGAGAAGCGAGCGCACTCTGTGAAAAATGTCAACAGCTCACTAAAGGTTGACTTGTCCTTCTAGTCACGCGGGGACGGATGAGTTTCCCGTCCGCCGGCACAGACGCGACAAACCCGGCAAGGTTAGTTAGCCGAGCACCCCTTCTCACCCACAAACAACAAAGTTAGCATAGAGCTAACCTGGTAGTAGTTTGGTTAAAGTTACAGCACAGCACCGCCCCACTTCCCGGTAAACAACCCGCACAAAGTTACGTAGCTGCTGAAAAAAATGTGTTAAGTTCAAGTTAATTTGCGTAGAAATGAGTAAACATGCTAGATGGATGAGATAATCAGCCGCAGACAGACGCAGGGGACCGCTCGGGGAGAGATCCTCTGAGGGACTGACTCACTTCTGCTGAGAGTCGTTTATATATGTGCTGACGTGTGTAGGAGGGCAGCTCTCCGTGCGTAATGAAATACAGGAGAGTCGTGTCGCTATAAGGACGAGAGATCGTCGGCAACCAGCTCGGTGAGTACATCCACAGGTTCAGTTTGAGAGAGAGAAAGGAGGAGAGGAGAAGTGTGCTGCACAGGAAGAGTAGAGAGAGAGAGTCTGTCTGTCTGTCTGTCTGGAGGATCGGGGCACAAACATGGCGTATACCACACACAGACACACACAGAAGAGAGAGAGAGAGACAGAGAGAGAGTGTGTTTTCAGTAGTTTGTGCTAGATGTCAGACTGTTGCCTTTGTTTGGCAGTGACTCAAATCTTCAAGGGGGTTGCTTTGTGGACTTTGCAACTTTGGACGTCTGCGTGGACACGTTTATTGTTTTTAATTTACAGCTCAGTTTTCAGAGTAAAGTCACTTCCTCAGTGTTACGTCTGTACAGGGAGTATGACAAAGAGGTCCAGCACATGGTTTCTACATGAGACTGACTGGTTTAACAGCTGTTCTCACTGGATTTGTAGAGTCTACCCTCTGTGTCTATGGATACACTTTACTAACAGCAGCAGCTTGGGTGTAGTCTTGTGTTTAAGCAAGGATTGGCTGCTTTGCTCTTTGTTTTTCATGTCAACAGTGCTTGGTGACTTGTTTGAGCAGGACAGCATGTGGAGTGATTTTGAAATAAAGTTGTGGGTTTTGCTTCAGAGAGATGTGTCATACTAGTGTTGAAATATTAGTCGTTAGAGAATATGAATATAGGGATGTTATGAAAGTAATCATATGAGTCATATGACAGGAAAAAGAGAGTTTCCGGAATAATTTAAACAACTTCAGGGTTTTCTGAGATGTGAAATGTCAAAAGTTTTACCACCTCAGCTGGGGGTTTTCTTGAGATTAATGAGAAAGCACCTCAAGTGGATCAAGTCAGCTGAATAATTACTGATCATAAGTCAAAATTGCTGTTTCACTTTCCATGTTATGGGGCAGAATA